TTGGCATGTACCTCAACCCGTGCAGTAGCCTCAGCGGTGGACCAAGATCTTGCGCGACAAAAAATAAGAGGCTTGTCCTCTTCAACCATTCCACCTGGGTAACAAAAGTCATCTTGTTAGGATAAGTAAACAAAACCTCTCACCTCGGATTTTGTGGAGCCGATGGAGGTTTAGGAAAAATAGATCGCTAAGCTCGACGAGCAAATGCTAGATTTAGTAATTCTGAGAAGAAAGAGTCTAACAGACCTGTCTCAAGCTCTTCCTCATCTCCTCCAAATCTGATATCTGTATCTCCAAGGTATTCTTCAAAAGTCTCCTCTTCGTCATCAGTAGGAAGGAGCTCCTCCTCATCCTTTACTCTATCTATGCCTTTGCGGGATTGATTAACAGGCTTCTTTCCCTGCTTCTTCAAAAGCTCAGTGTCACGGGCAGCCTTAGCAATAGCTCGAACTAAATCTTCGGCCTCCAACTCGGCAATGTCCTTCAATTTCATAAGATCATTAGCAACAATGAGCCACTTGCAACTGAGGAAGGTAAGTTGTGGCTTGTGCTTGGATGCAGGGAGAGTAAAAGTGGCACCCGTTTAACCTATTAAATGCTAGAACCATTCTCGAACACCGTCTATAAGACCACCCTCAGTCCTCAAGCCTCGGTTCGGATTACCAACGTACAGTTGGTCATAACCAAACTGACGAGCAAACCGATTAGGTAAATAAGGCTCTATGTAACAACGTCCTTTCACCCGAAAGATGAGATACCCGAGGCGGATGTTCACCAACTACCGGAAACAACCAACATCAAGGGAAGTACATCATATTTTCGGCTTCTCTTCATCAATCAATACCTAGTCGTAACGGCCAGAGAAATGAGGAAAACACTTGAAGAATTCCTAACACTTGTGGATCTAAAGCTCTTGCTTCGCCTCAGTGAAAGTCTTCAAAAACCATTTGCTCTCTTCTAATAATTGCAGGAAGGGCACAAAGGTATCGGTGGTGCTCGGGGCTGACATCAAATCGGGACGATGAAGGATGAGCCATGTCATCAAATATGCATACGGGAGCTCGACCTTGACGGAAGGAATCTCGGTCGACGGTTTGGACCCTATTTGTGTAAATACATCAACCAGGTATCTAAGCCTACAATGAATATCCGTAACCATCACCGGAAGTAAGGAGAGATCCTTCCCATGAGCTAACTGGACGGTCAGGAAGAGAACCTATATCAGTAAAGCATCGGAGAACTGATATGGGATAATATATTTCTTCAACCAAATGGCGAGATACCCCACCAGAAGAGTCATAGATCGAATACGCTTTTGCACATGCCACAAGAATGTATGAAACTTAGTCCCCGCTGGAAAATGTCCCTCAATAGCAGAAGTAGTGAATGATCGAGCACATGTCTTCTCAATCAGGTCGTTGATCTCTGAGGGAGTCAGATGGGCTAACTCACAAACTATTTTACTGGAACTACTCTCCAGATACTAAAACAAATAATCAGCGAATTACTTCAGGCTTATCTGTGTTTTCTTCTTAGCCATGGGGTTTATGCTAACTAGAGTCATCTGGTAGTGACATGTGAGATCCCAAAACGTGTCGTACATATCAGAGGAAGCTTTCTTCAATTGCCTCAACTGCCGATTAGAAGGGAAGTACTCCTGATATGGATAATCACCCATTGGAAGTCCAAAAACTTTCTGCATCTCATCAAGAGCTAACCCCAACTCTCCATTACGGGTCAAGAAAGTGTTGGTGTCCGGATTATAAAGCTCCAACAATGCTAAGAAGTGGTATTTACTGATTGACAATCCATACATAGTAGCCCGTATCGATGCGTATAATCCGTTCTGCTTCAGCTCATTACCCCAACGCCCGAGAACAAAGCTCGTCATACGAGTCCACAGCTCGTCATACGAGTCCACCACTTCTTTGCTAGTGAGTGAACCCAACCATAGCACCTATAGTCCTTCATAGGAAGTTTCCTCCCAAGTCTAGCAAGCCGATTACTCACTGTATTAGCAGCTATCGACAGTTGATCCGCGACAAAGCTGTATCAAGTCCCAAGATTCCTGATCGAAGGCCACGAATGTAATTATATCCATCAGAACCCGGGGTCTTCTGCTGGGTAATGAATCCACAATGGACTCACTCATGATCATCCGTGAGATGCCAAGACATCTCCTACTTGAGGCTATCTTTGAACGTGGTGAAGTGGTTACAACTGAGGATAAGATCAAATTGTTCGTTCTTATCCGAAAATAGAGCTTTTTAAGCCTATAAATATAGCCCTAGGGCCTTCATTCGCACGTATCTAGAATTTCGGAGCACGGCGAAGCCCTGACGTTTTGGAGAGTGAGGAGCACGAATTTCAACAAGGAGGAAGCAAGTCTTTAGCGAGTTCTTTGACAAAAAGGAGGAGAGTTTGATAAATCTACAGTTCTTTCAGCCCCATTCATCCGCTTCCCTTGAGATCACACCATTATTGTAATCTCAAGAAGAGCGTTTATCTCACCATTGCTGAGATAATTACTTTAATTTATTGTCTTCTTTTTGAGGCAACGAAATCAATCGAATCTGATCATTTGGTGGTCCACGGATAAACCCTAGCACCGGTAAAGATCCCATGCAAGCAGAAGACTGACAAACGATCTCTCTATGTATGTTTTCTAGAAAGTTGTAATCTTTTTTATTTTCATTGTGTAAGGAGTCGTATAAAAAGTCCTTCCTTTTTGAACTTATTGTAACGATTGAAGTTGTAATGAGTCCTGTAATGAAGAAATCAACTTTCGGCGCGAACAATTACAATCTCTCTTTACAATGAGAAACTCTATGTATTTTTCTCTCTCACTCTTCTATATATGGAGTTAACTTTGGGATGGATTTTTCCTTGAAGAGTTTTGGGTCTATTTATAGCGGTTGGGAAAACACTATTCTTAATTTTATAATATTTTTCCTTTTACTATGCTAACTTTTCGGTGCTCGCTCCCACTTTCGGTGCATTTATTTTTATGGGGACCGCCACCTTTTTTATTTTTGCACAATTGTTGCTGTCAACAATTACGGTTGACATGAATACTTTGAAAGATCTGTATATTGGTAGGGATAAAAGAGCAAGTTGTCAATCTTTTGTTTTTCCATTTTTGGGGAAAATGTATGTATTGTTTCAAGTAGATGAAAGTTCTGTTTATGATATTGGTTTCTAATTTTTGTTTGTTTGCAGTTTTGGTCCCATATGCTTTGCCGGTGAGTTGGTTTGAGAGGTTTCCTCACTACAAGCATGAGGATTTTTGCATTTCGGGAGAGACTTATGCAGGTAATTAGCAGTAAAGGCTTTCTCCTTTTACTTTCATGCTTCTTTTAGGTCATTTATTTTTGCGTTAATGTATAATATTTTTAATAGAAAATAATTTTTTTACTGTTTTAGATTATTTGGCCTATAATGGAGTATTTGCACTTTGAAAACTAGATTCTTTAATTAATTTTGTAAATTTTGGCTTCTACTAAGTGTTACATTATGGAATTCATTTCCATAAGAATTTATTCTGTTATTTATTATTGTAGTCCTCTATAAATATGCACAGAAACTTCAGAATGAAATTAAATAAACCACATAATCAGAAAGTGATACTTTTGTGTTAAAAAACTTCTTTTACTTTTGTTTGTGTATTCTTTCCACCCAGTATCAATATCTTAAAACATTATTCGTTTTTCTTCTTACTCTTCTAGCATTAATCTTCAGTTGTATTTCAGGACATATGTTCCTCAACTATCCCAGCTTACATTAAAAAAAAGAAAAAGAAAAAGAAAACAAACTAAAAACCAGATAATTAACCTCAAGGGTTTCATGCAGACTAGTTGACGATAATAAGTTTCAATCGAATTTTCTCTTTAAAATGGGACTCTTTTCTTCACAATGTCTTGTTGACCTCGTGAATAGTGATATTATTTGGGACAATTGAGGAGATTCTCCTAAATAATCCATCCTTCCTATTTACCTAGAGCTTATTGAAGCTGACTTAATAATTTGGGTCTTAAGATATATACCTTTGGCCCAATAATTTTCTCATAAATGCTCTTTTTTTTTTGAGAAGTCCATGTGTCAGTGAATTTGTGAAACATACAAGGTTCATGCCTGACCATCATATAAAAGTTTTGTGTCCTTCTAATTCATAAAACATCAATATGTTTCTTCAGTTACTCACAATATCTAAAATAATCAAATTAAAATTTATGAATTTTCTTGATAAAATGCATTTTTTAGCTATTTACTCTCAAATATTTTTCTTTTCGATTTCAAGTTGGAGGATGGAGTCAGATTTACGAAGGCATGAAGATCCTCATCCTGGTCAAGCTATGATATTCTTCAGATATTTTTTTTATACGTAATAGATCTATGTCTGGTGATGCATAAATAGTAGTCTGTAAGCTTTATCATCTTTTAATAATTTAGGGTTGATTTCTTACCTTGTTGCATAGCATATTAAGAAAATCTCAATTTTATGACCTAGAATTGCCTCGCAAGTATTAGATATATTCATAGTACGTACGTCCCATTTTAATTATAAAATTATATGGACACACACCCACACACGCGCGCGCACACACACAAATCCAAAACCAAAAAGAAAAACGTTTGAGCATTTCAAATGACACAAAACACCCCTTATGTTTTGGCTTGTCAGAAACCCCCTTCACCTTTCAACAATTTTTAAAAACATCCCTAGCACATTTACTGTATTTTTTCACGTGAGGATAAAATTACACAAAGGGATATTTTTTTCATTAAAATTTATGGTTCATGCATTTTAGGCTGGTTTTTTGTCGAAAATTGTTGACATTTGAAAGGAGTATTTGAGAATTCTCAAATCTTAAGGAGAATTTTGTGATGTTATATATAAAAGTTATGGGTTAACCTAACAAATGCCCAAACTTAAGCGTGCATTGTGAAATTTACCTATTGTATATAAATGTTTTATTAGAATAGAGTAGAGGTACCATAATGAGAGGCAAGCTAGTTCATTTTATTTGATAGTAATACGTAAAACATGAAAAATCTGAGAATCATTCTCTAGTTTCACAAGTGATCAACTTAACTAACAATTCATGGATAACTAGACATGAGCACCGTTTTGTCTTTTCCAAAATTTCCATTGCACATTTTGAAGAACAACGACTGCTGCTAAACCCACTCCGAATCCCAAACCGAAAAATAGGGCAAGCCCAATGATATAGCCTGATGGTGATGGATGATCAGAGATTATAGATGGTGCTGCACTTGTTCCATTTGGGTTGACATTGCCGCATTGCTTTGATAATGGTTTACCACAAAGTCCTTGATTCTCCAAGTAAGTAGCGTTTGAGAATGTATTAAACTGTTCGCCTTGAGGGATTCTTCCATTCAAATTGTTGTTGGAGAGGTTTAGAAAACTTAAGAAATTGAGATACGTTAATTGTTGGGGAATCTCTCCTGATAGATGATTTGCAGAAATGTCTAATTGTTCAAGCTGGGTCATGTTTCCAATCGATGGAGGAATCTTACCGATGAGACTATTATGTGATAAGTTCAACTTGTGGAGGCCATGGAGTTCGCCGATCATTTCTGGAATACTACCTTCAAATCTATTATTCGAGAAATCAACAAATGTGTATGATATTGTTAGGATTCTCTCAAGGGTAAATTCTTGCTTGTTGATCAAAACTTCATAAGGAACCCCCTCAGAAGACATACTATCTCCTTTATCTCCATGATCCAAAATGGAAGAATTTTTCATGGATTCCAAGTTGTTAAAACATTTTGAAGGCAAATTTCCTTCGAAGTGGTTGGAGGAAAGATCAAGGATTCTCACTTCTGAAAATGTTTTTTCATGTGTCTCATGGTTTCCCATAGTTTCCACCTGTCCATAAAGTGCATTCCCGCGGAGAATAAGGACGTTCATGTTAATCATATTTCCCAACCAAAATGGAAAAGTGTCCACTATGTGATTATTTCCAATGTCGAAAACCTTTAGTGACGTGCAATTAAGCAATGTTCGGGGTAATGGGCCTTCCAAATGATTGTCACTAATAATCAATGCCTCTAATTTGCATGCCTCATTAAGATGCAGAGGAATGGTCCCTTGGAGTCGGTTCCCTCTGAGTTTCAAAACAATAAGGGCGCTGTTGTTTTGGAATAGACATGATGGTATGGGACCGCTCAAATTATTCTGAGAAAGATCGAGGAATTGGAGGTTGTGTGCTTCACAGATAGACATTGGGATTTGTCCTTGGAGACTATTATTGGCGATTAATAAACTATTAGTTTGATTAAGGGAGGAGGAAATGTTTGACGGGATGACGGATGAGATGTTGTTATTTGAGTAATCTAGATAGTAAACATATGGGAAAACTAATGGAATTGGTCTCTGAAGCATGTTGGAATGGAGATCAAGAGAGCCCATTTGCCTCATAGAGAGATTAAATGGCTCTTCCAAATGAGTGAACCCGTTGTTGGAGAGGTTCAAATTCGACAAATTTTGATCAATGATCCAATTTGGTATACCTCCGTCGATTTTGTTATCTGAAAGATCAAGATGTTCAATTTTATTTTGATATCTTAAAAAGGTAGGAACTTTTGTGAGACCGCACGATGCTAAGGTCAAATAAGTTAGATTCGGGAAGACATGGAAGTATTTTTCGCTAACTTCTTGGACTATCAATCCTGAAAGCGCCAGGCTGCTTAAATCTCTGAGATTCCTAAACGAGTCTAGGTTCACTGTCCCGTTAAAGCTGTTGTGGCCAAGGTTAAGTTCTGTAAGGGATGGGAGCTCAAATAGTGATCTCGGGATGGCACCAGTAAATTCATTGTACGAAAGATATAAGTATTCAAGCTGGGTAAGATTCCCTATGGAGAAAGGTATTGGTCCAGAAAAAGCACAATACGTAAGATCCAAGTCTGTCAAGTGTTTCAAGTTTGCAAGAGAATCAGGTGGTAGGGTTCCGGATAAATTTGTGGCCGAGAGTGACAAAACTTGCAAAGCATTTTTCTTTGGGAAATTTGGCATTCCTCCAGAAAGCATCGGATTATCTGATAAGCCCAGAGAAGTCAGGTTCATGTGTGATGTGATGAAGTGATTGATGTCCGTCGGCAATAATCCTGCGCAATTCCAAATGTATAATTACAAATAACTAAAAAGATGTTAATGCTTGACTATTAAGAACAAATAAACTGAGATGGGTGAGTTCACCTGAGAGACCACAACTGTATAGAGCGAGCGCTTGAAGGCGAGGCAGTGACGTGGACAAAGCGTTGCTCCAGTCTTGGTCATAGGACATGTCGACTTTGAAGAGGTAGAGCTCCCTCAGATTGGTAAGGTTTCCAACTAGAGTTCGGAAACTTGGAAGGTTCCAAAGTTGTAGTACATCATGTCCGATGCCAAGGAAAATGAGGTTGGTTAAGTGGGAGATTCCGATGGGAACCTGACCGCTAAATTCCGTCAAATAGAGATCGAGATGCGTGAGTTGGGTAAGATTCTCAAACCCCGACTGCGGAAAGCTTCCTTCGAAGCTATTCGAGGAGAGGTCGAGATAGGTGAGTTGGGTAAGATTCTCAAACCCCGACTGCGGAAAGCTTCCTTCGAAGTTATTGCCAGAGAGGTCGAGATGCGTGAGTTGGGTAAGATTCTCAAACCCCGACTGCGGAAAGCTTCCTTCGAAGCTATTGTTGGAGAGGTCGAGATAGGTGAGTTTGGCAAGATTCTCAAACCCCGACTGCGGAAAGCTTCCTTCAAAGAGATTGTCAGAGAGGTCGAGAGTTTGGAGGGAGGTGAGGTTGAAGAGGCTGCCACTTAGCTTACCGGAGATACCACGTCTATGGAGATCAAGGCTGATGACGTGGCCAGAATTGGGGTCGCAGGTGACACCCTCCCACTTGCAGCAGTTGGACCCAGGTTTCCATGAGGACAAATTGGTGACAGAGTCCATGTCGAAGGAGAAACCACGTTTCAAGTCGAGGAGGGAAGCCCTTTCGATGGGCAGGCACTCACCGGACACGAGATGAGGAGCAGCACGTGTAAAGGAGAAGAGGGATATTATGGTTAGGAGGACTACTACTGCTGCTGAATGGGGATTTAGCCGATCAACGGCATTAATGGCCACCATGACTATAATAACTATTATTATTTCCTGAATTGATATCACTTTAATTGATAATAATTATCCAAAGAGCGAGTAACAGCGGATATTTATACACGCATAGCTAGCTAGCTAGCTAGAGGAGGAAGGAGAATCAATCAATTATGAACGTGTTGGAAAAGTTTGCAAAGAGACGGGGTTAATTACAAAAGACTTCCACATGCAACGGCCATGACTCGGGAGACTTCATTAATTTCTATGATTGGAAATAAATACTTTTCATTAACTATTAAGAATCTAATTTCTATGATTGGAACAATAATATCTTTTAACGCCCCTTAGATTTCCTACATAGTGCTGAGGAGCAGTGACCTATCCACAATTGTAGCCATTTTCCTTGTTTGGTATACTTTTTTTCCCTTCATATATATATGTATTTGACCACCTTAATTTGACATTTGGACTTTTTTCTTTCAAGTGGGTCTCCTACATTTAGGTATATTCTGAGCAAGTTGTACTGTTATTATGTGTTAGATTATGGTTACTTAATTTAATGGGTTTTGTTTAGGTTCGCTTTTGACCTAATTAAATATATGATGTGCATCAAACTGCACTGATTGTTAATAAGATGTGTTATGGATGTAGAAATTAGAAAACAATGCATGCATGCTGATATATATATATATATATATATTTAACACTAAGAGAGGAGTGGATAAGAAATGAGCAATAGGAAAAAGGATATATAGTATAGAAAGATTCTAAAGTTACATTATGTTTGTCTTTAATGTGTGATTAGAATAGTGACTACTTCGATGGTGCAATTGTTGAAGAGTCATTCAAAAGCTTGGAGAAGTTAGAGGAGGAGAAACCCCAACAACCAATGGTGGATAATAATGTACAGTTGAACGTGCAGGAAAAGTTTTACAAATAAGACTTCCACGGTCCACGACAACGACTTCGAATGCTTTATTAATTTCTAAGAGAATAAACAAATGCTTAACTTTCACTAGTTATGTATTCCAGCTAGAAACAAAAGTGACTCTATTTAAGGTTGAATTATGTCACTATTATTATAGTATCATGATGTAAAGCACTCTAGACCTAAATTTACAAGACTTTGAATTTTCAAATTGAAATTTCATCACTTGTAACCTTTTTCCAACACATTTTTTTGGTTTTAGCAAACTTTTTGTAAATAAATGCTAAAGAGATCACACTTGGGGGAAAAGACTATATACTTAATTAGGAACAAGGCTTCAGATGGTGAAAGACAAGGATTGGGATCCTCTACTCATGCATAGTGATTCCTAATGTTTGCTAATGCATCACCACCCTTCATTGTGTGGATGAGTACAAAGTGGAAGGTGGGGTCCACACAATGAAGGGTGGAGATGCATTAGCAAATATTAGGAATCACTATGCATGAGTAGAGGATCCCAATCCGAAAGACAAGGAAGACAAAGGAGACTTCGTTAATTTCTATGATTGTAATTAAATGATTTTTATTAATTATTTATTCAACAAAACATAAAACTCTTGAGATATTGTTAATGTCTATGATCGGAAGTTCTGCTAAGAAGCAGTTGACTAGCAACACTTGCAGCCTTTTTTTTGTTTCAGTTACTCATTTGCTACATCTAGGCATATTTTAAGCAAATTGTATTGTTATTATATATGTGTTGGATTAAAAGGTTACTCAAGTTAACTGGGTTTCTTTAAATTCTATTTTGACCTGAATATAAAATGTGCATCAAATTGTATTGATTGTAAGTACGAGAGGTTATTGATGTAGTAATATACTAGAAATTAGAAAATATATATTATTAATACTAAGAGAGGAGTGGGTGAGAAATGGGCAATGAGAAAATTAAGAAAAAGATTAATTAGTATAGAAAGATTCTAAAGTTGCATTATGTTTGCCTTTAATGTGTGATTAGAACCGTGACTACTTCCATGGGTGTAGTTGTCAAAGAGTCATTCAGAAATATTGCATAGGTTGAGGAGGAGAAACTCTAATAACCAATGGTGGATAATAATGGATGGATGAATGTGTTGGAAAAGTCTTGAAAACAAGTCTTCAATGGTCCATGAGGACGACTTCAAAGACTTTTTTTTTTTAATTTATATGAATATAGAAATATGTTTAACTGCAATGAATGGCTAAGATTATATCTCAAAGGCTCCTGATTTGATACAGCCTCATCAATGAGTTGGATTTCTCATAGCTGATCATAACCTCATTAATTAGTGAATCCTTTGGTCCTTGATGACTATACTTCTTTTGCTATATTCATCACCAATGGAGTGCTTTAAAATTGAAGGTCATTGATCCAGGCTCATCGATGAGATATGTGCTCATCGATGATCAGAGGCTCTCTGAATTTTTTTACCATCGATATAGAGTTATTGATTGATGAGCACAACAACAGATTCATTAATAAGAGGATATGCTCATCGAATACCATGTGCTCCATGAGTATGATCCTCATCGATGACTCTGCTATGCTGATTCATCTTGCTAAGACGAAATTTCTCCGTTCGATCTTGATATTGATTCCTTCACATATGAACCTTGTACAAATCATCTCAACTACTAATTAGACTCAAATATATGCTTGTAATTATTCAAACACGAGACATTGCACGGACATAGTCCTAACAGTAGTCCTAACAGCACTAACTGTTAGCATTTTTGTTTTGATGATGTTTTAATAAACAATTTACTACTAATGTTGTTTGTCCAGTATTTGTGTTTTCCTATTTATTGTACACAAATAATAAGTTGGAGGATGGATGGACTAGAGCTTTCATGATCATATCCATTGAAGGATGGAAGGAATAGTGGATTAAAGCCTTTTGCAATTCAAGACATATACAAAATCAAGCTTCGTCCATGTTACCAAGATCGAGTGTCATGAAGATCATTGCTTGGTATATTTAGTTTAGAAGTTTATACTTGTGTGTAGATACTTCAAGCTCAGTTACATACACACATACAAGTTTTAGTTATATATATATATATATATATATATATATATATATATATATATATATTATATATAATATATTATATGATATTATATATATAGGAGAGTAGAGATGAAGGAGAGAGAGAGAGAGTAAAACTCATATCACTTAAGTGGATAGGAGGTGGACAAGTGGATACGAGGTCGTGGGGATTTCCACTCATCTTATCTACAGATTTGTGCCGATCAAAAGATGCACAAATCTTAAAAGATTCTTCATATCTATCACAGATCTCAATGCAATATCAACGGTTAAAAAAGTTGATGGATGACTTATTCCTAATCTACTTAAGTTGACATAAGCTTTTACCTATATATATATATATATATATATATATATATATATATATATATATATATATATATATATATATATATATATATATATTATATATATATATATATATATATATATATATACTATATATATATATATATATATATTATATATTATAATACTATATATATATACTATATGTTTTGGTTTTATAACTTTAAAGTTTATATATATGAAACAAATGAATACAATTGGAAAATAGATATTTGTTTCATGTTTATATGCTTATATATGATTTCATCAATATCAAGTTTATTTAGTTCAATGAAATCACGTTTATTATTTTGAAAGTTTACAAAACATGTGTATTTTTGTTAAAATATTATATTCTTGTTTATAGACTTAACAACAATAATTTATATCTTTTATCAAGTCTATAAAATTATTTTATAAAGTTTCAAAACTTGGTTTATGTCAAACCATCAAAATTCAAGTACCTCATGTTTTCATGTTTTGGACGTTTTTGTAAAATGATGAGTTTTTACTATTAAGAAGTGCAATTCCAAAAATTCTTTTTCTAACATGTTTATAAATATTTTCCAAAGTTTTACATTTTTTGAAATTTGTTTACTATTTTTAAAGGTACTTCAAAAATCAGATTTACTGTTTTAATCAAGCTGATAACTTGTTATCAATCGACTCATGAAAATGTTCAGTCGACTGAAGAAAACACCTAGAATAATTAAAACTATTTGTTTCTATGTTGCTCGACTAACTAGTCGACTGATGAGGTCATCAGTCGACAGATAATGTCGCCAGTCGACTAATGAGCTAGAAAATGCCTATAACGGTCAGCTCATCAGTTGACTGATGAAACCCGTCAGTCGACTGATGCTGTAACGGCTAGTTTTTTCAGCCTTGTCTTGTTTTGGATTTTTGATCTTTTTGTTTTGATTTTCTTGTGTCTTGGGATGTCTATAAATACCCCTCATACCTTAGACCAAAAATTATCCAAGAAGAATGTTTTAAAACAAGTTTTACAAGGGGTTTAAGTTTGGTTTAAGTTTGTTTAAAAAGCTTTTAAGCATTTTCAAGTTTCGGTTTGTGAAGAGAATTTCACAAGAGCTAGAGAAGATCATCTTTGCTATTTGAGCTTCAACTCTTCTCTCTCTCTCCCTCTTGTTATCTATAGAGAAGTTTCCCTAAACTCAATCTAGCTTTACTTTTATATTGTTTGATTATTATTTTATTAAGTTAGTGTTTATATTGAGTTTAGTTGATTTTATTTACTCATTGCTTACACACACAACCATTGAGCTTCTAGTATTTTCATACATAGTATAATTTAGGTTGTGGGGGAGTGTATCATTGAGTGTGAGATTACATTGTGTTCTCATCCATATTAGAGAAAAATCATTTGTTTTATTGTGCTTATTATGAGATTCACTTTGTATTACACTAGTACACCAAGAGTATAGGGTGAGAGACGGGGTCGCTTCCAAGAGGAGTAGGGTCGGTAGTAAAGTCTAGAGAGAAATGGTAATTCCGAGCACTTGAGGAAGGACACGGGCAAGAGACCAATACTTGAGGTGGTAGTTAGTGTAGTTACATTATGAGTGTTGTAAAGTTTTCGGTGATCTAGAAAATCGAGTGTGAGGTGAAAATGTTATTCGGGTGAGTGTAGAAAACCTGGTTGTGATAGTGAAGCTCTCCTCGAGGTAAGGAGCGAAGACATAGGTCAAGTGGTTGACCGAACTCCATGATCATATCACTTATTTGTGTTTGTCATTAGTGCACT